GCCTGTAGCCCAGAAACCACCCTCTTGAGTGATCTCCGCCCGACGTGTCCCCCTGCAGCCTGGCAGAAAGCCCTGGGTGTCACTCATGGGCTGCCCTGTTGTGGACAGCAGGGGGCGCTGTGCCGAGGAGAAGAGCCGCTGTGGGGGAGCGCGGTCTGTGTGTTTCTAGGGTGTCCGTGTTCTGACGGACAGTATCGCCCGCGGGGCCTCTCTGCATCGCTTGAGGACACGTGGATGAAATGAGCCGCAGTGCCTCGATCCCGCAGTAGCAGTGTCTCAGACGGCGGTCAGCGGTCAGCGGACTGGAGTGTCTCAGCAGAGAGCACCACGCCGCTCACAGGCTGAGGGCCACCGCTGGCCACTCAAGTGATTTACTGACTTAGAGTTTGTCACCCGCCCACTCCAGCCCCGAGGCACTATTCATTAGACAGTTTCCCGTCTGTATAGTGCCCCCTTGTGGCCTGCCAGGGTGTCCTCCGGGGGCTGTGCACTCTCCCCTGTGTCATGCCCTGGTTCCTGGTTCCTGTCCCAGACTCACAGCTGGCCACACCGTGGTTCTGCCAGTCTGGGCTCCGAGTCCGTACGGATCCACAGGCGCAGTGGGCCGGGCCAGGGACAGATCTGTTGTACGGATGTCGGTGGTAATGGTGGCGTGCTGTGAGTCATGTCCTCTCATCTCTGCATTACAAGCTGTCTGGGCCGAGCGTGAGGCAGCCCTGCTCTGTAAGGAAGCTGTGCCTCGCGCTAACCCGCAGGGGGCGCTGCTGGGCGGGGAGCCTGCCACCAGCGGCTGTGGTGCCCTTTGCCATGTCTACAGACTAAGCTGTCACCCACTGAACAGGTAGATCGCAGGATGTTTAATCACAAAAATTGTATTAACTTCCCAGCAGACACTTACAAATTCCACTGATTAAACAAACCTTGCCCTCCTTTCCAAAAATAACCCCCTGATCTCGTCTTGCACGGCGTTGGTACCTTTCCATCTGCTGTAGCCTACATTCCCAGGGTCAGAGTGAGGCTTCCTGAAGACGGGGCTTTGCCCAGACTGTGGTCAGCTCCTTTTTCCTGCAGACCTGCCCCAGGCTGGATGTAACGCACAACTAGGCAGGTGCTCAGACTGTAGACCCCCTCATGGAGATGTGGTCAGGCAGGGTGTGGTCACTCTCTAATGTCCCTAACCTCCTCCAGTGGGAGTGGTCATCTGTTCTGTAGGCAAACCAGCAAAGTGAGCCGCCAGGACTTTTGAGTCGGGGGTGTGCCGTACCTCTGTCAAACCCCTGCCCCCGGCAGCCCTGCACTGCCTTCGAACAAACTCCCAGCTGAGTCCAGGCTTCCCTGTCCCCAGCCATCTTCCAGCACTGTGGGGTTTCAGAAGGTCAGGAGGAATGCTACTGCAGAGACCTCATCTTCGCCCCAGCCAGGAATCCAGGAATTGGGAATTCAGAAAACTAAAACATAGCAACCAGAGCAGAATCTGTTCTGTTCCACGTATTCACCACAGGAGCCACAACTGCTTCAGACCTTCCTGTTAGGAAAACAGGACCTGGACTGGCAGGAGCCTGTTGTATCCAGACACGGAGCTGACCTCTGGAACACAAATCCCAAAGGCTTTAAGAACTGAAACATTTCACTGCTGATCAGGGAGGGTCTGGTTAGACTGCAGATGGAAATGACAAAGCCCTGCACCCCCCCTTCCCCCGACACAGAAATCTGAACGCTGACTGGACGTGCTTGTGAGAGCACCGTGCCCCTCGCAGGCCTCACCTGTTCGTGACCAGTAGCAATCAGCTCTTAATCTGGCTGTGATTGGCCGTTAATTTTCTTGATTGATTCCCCCGGGTCGGTAATGAGCTGTATGAATAAAAACGTTTCGTTATCTCTGCCAGAGCAGGGGAGGGGTTATCAGAGGTGTTCAGGCCCTTGGCTGAGGTCCTGTGTGGTCAAGAGGCACATCAATCTAACAGATGTGCGTTAATGACCGCTGTGATCGCCTGACTTGGTCAAGAGCTCGGTTCCCACTCTGATAGCCCCAGGCTGTAATTGGGCTCAAGATTCAGCAGGATCCTCCGGTGGGAAAGTCAAAGGTCAAATCCTGACCCAGAGGGAAACCCCAGGCCGCAGAGCTGCAGATCTGCCCACTGTCTCTGTAGACTCTTCCCAACAGGGTCCCGTCCCCAGATCCTTGACCTCTCCCGTCCTTATGCGGCATCCTGCTTCAGCAGGTGGGACCACACGGTGGCCCTGGGCTGCGCGCACTCCTGCGTGGGGGTTTCCTTCTGCGTCGGGCGCTGGCCACCCCGCCGCCCCAGTCCAGCCCGCCCTGTGTAACTCTGTCCCCTCTCCCCCCGCAGTTCCGCGTGGGCTTGACCGTGCACACCGACCTCTACCTCCTGAACAACATGGACGGCCAGGCGTGCGCGGAGCGGTAGCGGGAGCGCGCTGGGGGTGACCTCGGGGCTGGCCCTCGCCCGGATTTCAGTCGTCTCCGGAGAGGCACCTGTTGGCCGACGACAACGGGAAAACCGCTGCTCTTGAGAATCCTTTTTACCTTACGCATCTTTTTATTTCCTTTTTAGGTATATTTTTTTAACAAAGTGGGAGCAATACTACAACTAAAACATTCCTTTTAATGTCCATTTTAAATGGTTGCCAGTGTAGCAGCCTTGAGAACCACAAGCCCTGACTGGGCCCGCCAGCGCCACCGCGGGGTCGGCTGCTGTAATTACAGTCAAGTGCCTTAGCCCTGCCCTGCCCTGGATGGGAGCTGCAGCTGCGCTTTCAAGAGCCAGGCTCACACTGTGCACCAAGCCACCTCCCTCCTCGGCCAGTTGGCGGGCCTCTCTGGGCCGAAGCCTCTCCCGAGTCTTCCTGTCCCATGGGGAACGCTGAGGAGTGGCGCCGGCGTGGGGCGAGACGAACAGACAGCTGCAGGCGTCTCGCTACTGAAACGGTGACGTTCGAGAGCCCTGGGCTCAGGGGGTGACCTGTAGACTGGGAGCACGTCCAGCTCGTGTCCCTGCTACTCCTGACCCTTCACTAGTCCTCTGCAGTGCCAGGGCTAATTAATCAAAACATCATTTCAGTAACTAAATATCCATGATTGTATTTATTGAATGGTTCAGAGGTGCCCAGGTCCTTTGTGCTGCTGAAGGCTGTATGTTGTCCTGCTGGCTCTCACAGAAGACGGTACATGACCCGATTACCTCGGTACGAGCCGGTCCAGGCGAGAGACCAGGGACGTGATTGCGGTCCTGGGCATTAGCAGGGTATGCACTGAGGTGCCCAGGCTAGAAGGGTGAGTGACGCCCTGTGTGGTGGCCCAGCCACTCCAGACCCGTCATCCTGTACACTGTGGTGGTGTAGGTCATGTGACCTGCTCGTGGGGTCAAAGGTCAAAGCCCAGACAGGCTTTTATAACACCTTACTGCTGTAAAGCATGGTGATCCAACAGACTCCCCCTCATGTTTACACTATTGTCTGCATCATGGTTTCCTCACCACCCCTCCTTCAGCCCGACTGTATATTCATGCTGTTTTTACCATGGTGTGCCGCAGTGAACCTGTTATAGAGTGAACCCAGCCTCGCAACACCAGGAATGCTGTCCTGACTGTGTCTTGGTATCTCAACCCATTTTTGTAAACGGAAAAAAGAAAAACTTTTAAGTGTCAAATAAATTAGTTTAATTTATAGTCACATTATTATTTTCGTTTGTGAAGTAAGCCATCTGTTGACTGTTCTCCACAGATAAATAGCTAATTCTCTATTCTTGACTATTTCCTTATATCCAGCCTGCTGTTAGTAAAGTTATCTCAATGTGAGATGAAACCAAGTGAATAACAGACTCCCACAGCAGAGCAGTATGATCCATGTCCGGTACTTAAAAGTTGTAACATGACTGTAAAAGGTGTACTGATGAAATAGAAAAGCAAAATTGTAAATTCTGTACAATTTTTAACTGAACACATTTGTCTGGACAGATTAACCTGTACACAAAAACAAATTAACAAGCAGGAGATCTCCAGCACCTGGTGGTGGTTTT